ACTTCGCGCAGCGATTATTCGCTGGCGGGTCGTCGGTCGCTACGCTCCTGATTAAGGGGGTCGGAAGGTTGAAAGGTAGGTAATAGGTATAGCGGTATAGATAACGATGGCAACACACAGCAACCCAACGCGTGTATGTCCGTAACGAAAATCGTGTGCGCCGGTATGCCGGCGAAACGTCGAGACGTCGGCGACTACCGCAACCCTCCTTGGATCGCACGAGGGTCTGTAGTCGCGTGTACCCGTAGTCATGAGGGGGTGGCCGACTGCGTTGAAGCGTCGTACGTAAGAATGTAATCGGTTCAGCGAGAATTCCGCCGTTGCTCGCACGTTCCGTGGATCATCGTCCCACCACCGTGGTGGCACGCGAGAAATCGTAATAATCATAGTCGCGAGCACGTCGCTCTTCCTCCTGATTGCTTTCCTTTTGATTCGCGCGCGAAAAAAAGTACGTCTCACACCCTCGAAAGAGGAAAAAGCGTCGTCGTGAAGACGAGACGGTACTGCCGTACGTAAGCCTGGAATCGATCCCACGTTTACGCGCATCCTGGGTCGTATTTACACAATACGATCGTGTTGTCAGCTTCAGTCGTTATTGATCGTAAGACGAGGTATTGATCGGTTTGTTCCCTTGAGTGACGTGCAACGTGGTACGAAATCGGTGCTCGGCAGCGAATTTGGCATCAGAATCGATAGTCTACGCGAGCCTGTCTGTCTCTCGATTTCGCCACCATCTCCTGCAAGCTGATATAAAATTTATATTTGATCGCTACGTGACTTGGTGACGAATCCACCTATATCTCTCTTCGCTTGTGTTCGATTGAATAGTATTACTGCACAGCTTGCTGAGCTTATATCGGACTCTAATAGTAGAGATCAGTTTGGAGGGAACGAAAGCGGATATCCTCTGATGCCGGTAATGCACGCGGCTTGATGGTACGAGCCATAGTACATTGAGAGAAAAGTATTTGTTACCATGATTGTATGGTGAAATAGTTACGGTTAGGAGTTCTTGTTTTATAGTTGTTATTGCTATAATGTTAATATTGTTAATAATTATTATATTTATAGGTCTACACTGAAAATGACTATTTTATAGAAAAAAAGGACGACTATCTATAACATTTATTTTTGCCAACTATATAATTTTTTATATAAAATTATAAATATATTTAATAATTATTTTATTAATATTATAGCAGTAAATAAACTGTAGAAATAGAACCTTTAACTATTGTATAATTATTTTATCGTGCAATTATAGTCACAAATACTTCTCTCAGTGCAGCATATCATTTTAGCGACATTTTTTTTTGGCACTTTGCATGTTTAATTCCATTACGTGTCATCACGCTTTTACACGTACAAGCGAGAAGAGATAAAAGTAGAAACTTTTAACTTTTATTTTACTGTTGATCTTAATTTCGTAAAACTCAGTTGTCTTTTTTCATCACATTCAGAGAAAATAGCGACATTATATCGCATTATAGGACGGAAATACTTCTTACTAATAGAAGGCCGATAAGAGCAAAGTGTACAAAAGCTGTAAAATCGCTTCACGACAGGGACCAGGACAGTTTTAATCGGTACAGTATATAGATAATGTGTCGTGTCGGTATAAGTATACTGTTATTTGAAGAGGAACAACTGCCCTGGTTTTTTCCTCATTTTTGCGTATCCTATTTTTTCGTATTTCGGCCCCTTTGATGCAATCAACAGCTCGGAGGTTCGTATCTGGGAGTCGGTTTTATGGTCAATTGTATCGTTGAGTGCATTTGCGATTTGTTTATGTGCCGTGGGAAGTGTGTAGTTTGTGCGCGTCTGTTCATAGGTAAATCCGTATCTGAATAGAGATCACAAAATAAAGCACATCTATTCCGTTATCCTATGTACACATAAGTACTCGTAGCTGTAGATTATTAAATATTAATCTAAATTGAATTTTATACATTGCCACCGCCTACAAATAGATGATTTATAGATTTGTTTCTTCGTTTAATAAATGCACAACACACAAAGGTAATCGTTTCTCGTAAGATTTTAGTTACTTCAACATCATCGTTTTTTGTTGAACAATGTAATAATTCTGATGATCATTACTTCATACTTAATTTCTTTATGAACCGTATAATAAGGAGCAAAAATTAGTTTTAATTAATCTTTTTTTGATGTAGCTAGATGTATAATCATATCTTAAAATTGGCGTGTCACGCTTTTTTGAAGCCTCTTTTCGTTGAGGTTGTTGGAATTCTCTGATTTTGATGTGATTTCGTATTTCGTACGGGTGGACAAACGAATGCAATAATGATTTTACCAATATTCGCATTTAAGATGCCAACTTCACAAAGCAGCTCTGTGAAGTTGGATCTCTAAATGCGAATAGTGGTAATATCATTATTACATTCGTTTGTCCACTGTTTGTCCACGTTTGTCCACCCGTTATTTTCATTTGTCCACCCTTCAAAAAAAAGTTATACACAAAAAAAAATTGTAACACCCCCAAGTGGTTATTTTACACTATTACGAAAAATATAATAAACATAGGGTGGACGAACGAAAATAATGGGTGGACAAACGTGGACAAACAGTGGACAAACGAATGCAACAATGATTTTACCAATATTCGCATTTAAGATGCCAACTTCACAAAGCAGCTCTGTCTTAAGTCAGCACAGCCACACTGTGGATCGAATCCTTCGACGTAAACGATGAGCAAAAAAATTGGATTCTGGATATTCTTAGAGCAAATAATTCTAGAAACATTTTGAGACCAAAATGATCCCGGCAATTGATTGCTTTAATGTACTTTACTCTTGTACGCGACCCAGCACAGCCACACTGTGGGTCGAATTTTTCGACGTAAACGATGAGCAAAATATCGGGTTCTGGATATTCTTAGAGCAAATAATTCTAGAAACATTTTGTGACCAAAATGATCCCGGCAATTGATTGCTTTAATGTACTTTACTCTTGTACGCGATCCAGCACAGCCACATTGTGGGTCGAATTTTTCGACGTAAACGATGAGCAAAATATCGGATTCTGGATATTCTTAGAGCAAATAATTCTAGAAACATTTTGAGACCAAAATAATCCCGGTAATTGATTGCTTTAATGTACTTTACTCTTGTACGCGAACCAGCACAACTACACTGTGGGTCGAATTTTTCGACATAAACGTTGAATAAAAAAAAGAGCTAAATATTGTTTATCAAAATGGTAGAATTAATGTGGCGATCGAAAACAATAATAAAATTTTAAAGATTTTCAAATTTCAGGGAAATTTTGTATTAGTAGGAATTAGAGGAGTTGTTGATCAAAACAAGTTTCAAAGAAGCATAATTCATAATATTTAAAAAGAGCACAATGGACCATCGCACGCGTAGCGCGCGCAAAGAATGTGCTAGTAGATATAAATGCGCCATCCATGACATCGTCATCGCGTCTACTATCCAATAGTAGTGTAGACTTTCCACATTAAGCCATTACCTAAAAGCTTTAAGTTTTAAGCCGTAAGAATTTGACCGGTATTACAATCGAATGTAAGAAGAATAATCGACCATGATTGGTCAATTTTTTTATGGTTTAAAACTTAAAACTTAGGTAATGGCTTACTATAGAAAGCCTATTATAGGAACATTACACCTATTAGCTATATCGGAAAAGGAATTCATTTTTGCTTCTCATTGTGTTTTAAATGCTTAAAAACTGAGTAATCATGATCAATATGGTTCTGGTAATATCGATATTTTATTTCTCTAATACAATAGTCACTACAGTTGAGCTTTCTTCAAAAAATTATAATATATATAATATAAAATATTTATATATCATATATATTCTTTAAATATGTTATTTTTTTTAAATTAAAAATAGCTCTTTTAAATTATTAATTATTAAACGTACGGTTACAGTTTGATGGCAGCTAATCTAATTTATATTTATTAAAACTCAAAATAATATTATAATTAAATGAATTAACAATCAAGCACATATAGTATATTGCACGTGGATGGATATTGAACTATAAGAGTTTCAGTATTTAAAAATATTTTGTAGGTTTATAATTACTGTTTTAAACTTATTATTTCTTAATAAATTCTTAATCAATTCTGATGACCAGATGGAATTTTTTTGAGCAATAATGTCTTATTTAAAAAATATATATAGGAGCAAGCGGGAAATACAAAATATTTGGTTGTACATACCAATCTGATGCACGACGAAGCAATAAAATATACAATAGAAGTTATACAACAGTTGTTTTCACGTGACAGATAAAAATGATTTATTAAACGTGATCGGAATATAAAGTCGGCGACACCATTATTTATAGCGGTCGAATTCAATAAGCCTGCGCTTTTCAATTTGCATGTTCTACACATTTTCCTACATTTTTCTTTTCTTTTGTAAATAACAAAAAAGCACCTCAAAATGTAAGCATACCGTTGAAAAGTGCTGCTAGAAACATGAAATATAGCACGCTCGTAATTTAAATGTCGGAATTCTAATTCAATTACGCAATTGTTTCGTGCATGTCCGCGCCGGTTTACGGTGTCGAGACACGTGGAATTAAATTGTAGCTCAACCATCGAATGAATGAACAAAGCTCCCGGACTTTGTGGAGCAGAGGGATGTGCTTTTCATGACTTGTTTTTTTTATATCGGGAAACGATACACATATACAATTGGACGTCTCGATTACAGTGCGGTGTCCTGGCATCGGCACTTCTATTACGCCGTTCGGCTACAACGGCGCGGCGTCGTATCTTCTGAGGGAAGAGCGATATCCTGTTAAATCGATAACGAATGATGACAAAACCACGTGCTGTGGCATGCGACTTGTACCAAGTCGCTCCTGGCCCTATTTTGGCATTTGATATTCGAAACTGGCATGCCTGAGGAGTAACATATCACATCGCGTCGTGATCGTGCACAGCAGTGCGATCTTTCGTTTTCCTTTTTACTTCGATCCGGCTAGGCCGGGATACGATACGTAAATGGCGCAGGAACCAACATACGAGCCGGAAGTCGTAGAAGATGCGAGGAGAAAGCGTGAGCATCGAGTTGTTCAGGAAGACACGGCGTTATGGAGACGACGGAAGGAGGAGCTGCAACGTCAAAAGCACCGCGAGCAACGTGAAGTATGTGTCACACAAATGGGCGTTTCTGGTTTGGCCACGTTGCTGCCGTTTATACCTCTTGCCCTACAGCCCCGATCAGCCCCTTAATGTCATTGTCTCGCCTCGCTATTGTTACCGATCGGATAAGGGTCTACTGCGAGAGATACGGCCTCGGGATATGTTCGGTAAACCGGAACGTCATTAAGGCGAAGACGAGCGGACTTTGGAAATTAATCCTTCGTGGTATTGCAAGCGGTCGAGACATTAAAGTCCAACAATGCCGTGTTTGATTTTGGAAATGATTGTTAAATTTGAAATAATATACAGAGGATAGACGAAACATGAAATCTAGAAAATACACTGTTTATTTGATTACTTATTTTATTAATAATAATTGGTCCATTATTTGTTATCTTTGTTGGAATAGAATACATGCTTGAATAATTATCAATGGAATGTTGCATTAATCTTTTAGTAGAACATCTTTCAATTGATTATATAAAAAATATTTGAGGAGAAAATTCGCTTCCCTTTCTATTTTCTAAAATTATCTATTATTCTCTGAAAATATCAATACCTATCTTGGCCAATGCCATCACTTAAATAACATATCGAATATCATTTGTAGTTTTGAAGAATATAGTGAAAACAGATTTGTTTCTCCAATATATCTTTTAAACAATTAGAAGATATTTTGCTATAATATTTTATTGTATAGCAATTACTCAAACAAGTATGCACCTATAAAAAACTCTAAAGAGTGAAGATTGAGCCAGTTTATATGTCAGACTAATAAGATTTACCCTAAAATTCTTAAAGAGAAGATTTCCGAATTTAATACTGGCTGGTGCTTTCTATTTAGTGACACAAGTCGACACAAACATCGTTCTATCTTTCTTGACATTTAGAGAGTAACAAAGATAAGGTGACACTTACATAAACTTGTGCAGACTTGTGTCATCAAATATTAAAGCACTCATTACTTTTAGATCTAACGTAAAAGTCAAGAATCGATATAAAGATAGTTATATTATTGAAAGAAAAGTATTTTACTCTTAAATGAACACAATTCTTAAATCTAAAATAAAATGATTCTGCAACACATCGATTTTGCCTTAAATATATACTGTGATGCCAAGATCGTGCTGTTCAAAACTTTTGTGCGACTCTCACTCTGTAGAAATCTCATTCGTAAAAATTGCACATTGAACCATTCTTTTTCAAGACTGGTTCAATCTTTACTTTTTAAAGTGTGATTCTATTTTTGGAAATTTAGAGAGTGCGTTATATAACATCCGATAAAGATTTATTCTAAATGTAAAAATATATGAATATTTTACATTTATATATTAATCTTTTTTCTTAAATCAATAAATCAATCTTATTTTATTTAAGAGAGTAGGATAAGAAAATTATTGATCTATTATTGATCTAAGTCTACTATTTTATCTTCATACTGTATAAGTATTGTGATAAAATTGAATACGTCAAGAATATTTTTGTCTTATTTATCTCAGAAATTCTTTCTAACTATAAGATGACTTTATTCTAACAAGGATAGAAAACTGTATTAAAAAGAAAAATATAGGCCAACTTTTTACTAATAAAACAAATAATATATTTCTCAGTTGTTCGCATTATTTTATCTATATATTTACAACATAAACCATCTGACGTTATGTCGTAGATATAATAATATTCGTTTACATTCAATCTGTGTATACTAGTAATTAAGCGATCCAGACTGAATGAAAGAATCAGTAGCTAATGAAAACGTAATTAATATTACTTGATAGATATTTGAAAATACATTATTTTTTCAAAATGGAAATTACCGAATATCGAATTGTGATAGAATATTAAATATCAGGTGATTTTTTGCTCATTCTTATTACAGACGTGTTTCGAAAACGTTGCTCTTTTAGTCTGATTTAGTTGCTTTTACGTATTTCTATGTTTTACGTATTTCGCGGAACGTGTCGTTGAATTCGGAGCGGGAAATTACGTGCGAGCGAACGGTAATAAAACTATCCCATTAAAGTGGATTTACATAATCTCCATCTCTAACTGTCTTAAGAAACAAGCTGCGAAAGATAACCCAATAATCTATCACGGTCTCTCCTCGCGCGCTTTACATAAATTGTGTCTCGTTCCGCGTGTTCATTACGAACTTGGAACAAATGTATAGCTTATTAGGCGCCGAGGTCATGTTAATGGTAATCTACGAAGTGACCATGGGTATGGGAATCGTAATTAGAAATAAAATCGATGTCTACATCGGATGTTCAAAAAAGCATAAACTCTCAGAAGTTCTACAAGCAATCAAATTTTCGAAATAACTTAAGTTACGCGCCAAATTATTCATGTAAGTATCGGTTTTCGATAAAAAAAATTCGAGAACATTATAACAAAATTTTTTCTCTTCTTTCATTTTTCTGTAAACTCTTTTGAGATTAGGAAACTTTTGAAATTAAAAAAGCTTTTGTCAAAATGAATTTTTACACAAAAAAGTTTACTGTTAAATTTATAATGTCAAATCATACTCAATTGGAGTTATTTTTAATCATTTTTAGCACCCCTGCTGTTACTAATACGTTATTGATTCAACTAAATAACTAAAACAATGGAGTTAAACAATTAACCCAAGAAAATTAATTAAATTTGATTCGAATTTCATTTATCATTTAGTAAGTGCATATATTAATATGATCGTTGTTTACTTTGAAATGTACCAAAAAATAAATTAATTTACATTTTGACACACATGGAAGTTAAAAATAATAAAATGTTATTTAACTCAAGTAATTGGAGATTGTGAGATTATTCCTTTAATATTTAACAGTATTGCTATCATTGCGAAAAAGCATCAATTTTTTAAAAACCATTTTAAAGCTCAGAAAGTTTAAACTTTATTAACAATTTTCAATGTTTCGTTAAGTGCAACATTTTATGATAAAATAAAACAAAAATATTGAAAACAAAACAAGAATTTTATTAAATATAAAAAATTTATATTGAATATAAAAAATTTATATTCTCCTCTCTTTAAAATAAATGTTTGAAAAATGCATTTTCTTTATGATTTGTTTCGATCCAAATACTTTTACTTTTCGTGAAATGAGAGAAAATTGTAAATGTTCCTGAATTTATTAACGAGTGTATAGGATATATATATTTTTTTTTTACATCAATTATATTCGGCGTTTAAAATCTCGCTACCTTTTCGTTCTTCCTCTATTTTATTTTGGTATTGACGCGGCATAACGATGATGCGCAATCATCATCGGGGCGATTCTAAATATTTGCAGAACATACACTCGTTATATTCATTACTATCCTCTGTGAAAATAACAATCCATACGGAATATATTGTAAAAATGCACGGGCATACACGCGCGTACATACACACGCCCGATATCCAGTCCACCGTAATATCTGTCGCGTAATACTTTGTTTCGCCATTTCAATCAAATTCAAAATACATGTCGAAATTATGCCGGTGAAAATCCCGGTAATTATTGCTTCAGTGATTATTTCGTATCGTTAATGCAACACGTCGACTGTATTAAATTGTATTCACTGCGTACTGGGGGGGAGGTCGGAATTTATCGTGTAACCGGTATGCTAATAAAGACAGGCCGAGGGATTACCTCGTGGTCCCATCCCTCTTATTACTCGGGAATCTGGTGCAATCGCGGTCTGGTGCAAGTGCACGCGGTCGAATGCAAGTGCGTTAGCAATGTTACCGGGAAAGGTTGGTACGCTCAGGGTTAATCCTATTTGTCCGCAGGGTTCTCCATTGCATCGACATTAAATGCCTTCAAGTTAAACAAAGAGAAGATGATACTCGACTTCCTTTCTAAGAGCAAAAAGCCATCTTCAATTTGCAGCGTCGTGTCGCGTTGCGTTGTATGCTAGACGCCGTATTTCGATCTCTTACGAGCCAGGCGTAATTATATTTCTAACATACCAGACACGCGAGATGTCCTGTCGCACGTTTATACGACGTTCTTGAAAAATGGTAAAAATTTAATGTAACGAAATTTTTCGTTTCATCGCAGCCTTTACTTGCGCAATGAAAAAAATTCGGCGCACACTTTAAACGTGTGTTTTTCGCGCGAAATGTAACTGCAGTCGCGTCGCGTCGGCTGACGTTAGCGTAGTTCAGCTACAACAGTTTTATGTTTCTAATTTCCCCTTTTTTTTTCTTACAGCTGCAAGAAATTCTGGCCAATTATTCGCCGTGGGGTAAGCCAGGTGGCGGCGCACCCTGCGCGGCCACCCTGAGGAAGAGAAACGTGCTTCTGGAGCCGATCGAATCGCCGAGATGTCGCAGTTTCGGTCAGGTAAAATTGAGAGAGTAAAACGTAGCCGTCATTTTTCTTTCCGCCTGCACTCTTGTCGCGAAACTTTATCCTCGTAAATCCGACCTGGTGATCGTATGCACTCGTCTCGGAAACTTTCGGGCTCGTTTACGCACGTTGCCACACTGATGCGAGCGAAAGCGTCGTTACTCACGCCACTAAGATGTGTCGTCGCGTTTTTTAATGCTTCCGAGCATCGGTGTTCCCGAGTCGATAATTTTCTGCAGGGGGCAAATGCGAGTTGAATAGCACATGAGAGAGCTTGAAGTTGAAGTGAACTCAAATGAAACGTATGGCTTTTTCAGCGTGTGATTTTTGGGATGTAGGAAATAAAATTGCAAAAAGAGAAAACAGCTCTCGCTTTGCTTCGCAACGTTTAAATCAGTTAAATATATTCGAAAAATTGTGAAGAGAGAAGCCTGCTACTTTTTGCTGTGTAAGGGAATTATAGTGTGCAACTACGAAAATCATGCACGTTTAATTTTGATTACCGAGCAGCAGAGAGTTACATACAAATCGAGTTATTAAATCCTTACGTGGTATACTCGTACAAACATGTGCGACCATGTATAAAACACAAAAGCCACGAAACAATATCACGCTGTGTGCAAATAAGTTTGCAGCGCCGCTTACAACATTGTGTTATTATACATTAGTGATTAGAATATTAATTCTGTCTGATATTTAAAAATTAGTCGACGCTTCAGTTCACTTCAACGACTTAACTTCGCCAGAAATATCATTAGTCTCGTAATTTTTACTTTTTTGTGAAAATTAATCAGATTTAACGCGAATATTAATATGCAATTTTTTATTATCATTATACAATTTTATATTATCGTTATCTATTATTATCATTATTTCAGTAACAACTGGATTTAATAGTTAAGTGTAGATATTGTTTTTTAACTCTCTCTCTTACTAGAATCTCTATAAAATAATACAAATTTTTTCTAAAAATGTTCATCGATAACAAAATAGATATAGTAATTAAACTGAATTTGTTGAAATTATATTGGGTGGTGAATCCGTAAATAAGGTATGTGTGACTATGGGGGGTTTATAGTTTATTTAATAAATCTAGAAAATCCCCTTCTCTTAGGAATTACGGAGCGTTTTCTCTAAAACAATTGCGTTATTATCTGATCCAAATTAAGAGATAAGTAATGATAATTCTCAGAAAATGCGGTGAGATTTTCTCCTGCTTGATGTTTTCGATGTCTGAATTCATCATCTGAATAGAGCTTTTTATGCAGTCATACATAGAATAATTATTCTTAATATATTAAATGATAAATTTGCGGATTATGTAATTAAATTTATTTATTTATTTTCTGTCAGCCAAAGACAGATGATGATACATATGACAGAATTAAAATTTACATGTATTAACTTATGTAATATTGTAAATCTTTATCAATCTTCTTCATATATCTTATACTATTACGGATTATATATGAAGTTATATCAAGATTTATTTTATATGATTTATATAAGATTATAAATCCCGAGCACGACTTCTCTTGAAATGAATTTTTAACACGTAATTGTATAATAACATTTTGTTGTTTCTATAAATTTACAAGCATTTTATTTTTTAAACTCTTAATTAAATATTTAATTAAGGATTTACTCTTAATTAAATATTTTCAATTGAAAATAAAATTTCAATTAATAGATAAACTTTTAATTTTTAGTTAAGAGTTAAGTTTTAATTAATTTTTAAATTTAATCTGGTCTTATAATTTTATTTGTTTTTATGTAGAAGATACGATTTTATAAAACTCCATAAAATTTGACTTTTTATAAAAAAAATTAGTAACTTATAAAGAATTTTAGTTTTGTTTATGAGATTATACTTTATGACTTTTTAAATCAATATCTTGAAAATTGATGCTCCTTTACATGATACGTTGTATGTATTTCATATATATATATATAGATGGGCAATATAGATATAGATAGAATTAATCTCGGGCAGAACGAAGTAAAAATGTCCATGGAATTCATCTCCCTTGTTGTTTTGATTAAACGAGTTTCGTATTTCTATGCAAATTTCCATACGTTTTCTTTACCGCGACATAAATGTATGTCCGTACGTAATTTTTTGCTAGCATAATTCATCAAAAGGGAGAGAAAGAATTTCGTACACATTTTTCTGATTTCTTAAGCATACGCTAAGAAAAAGAAATGAGCACATATATAGAATAAGTGCATAAAGTATTATTTTTTATTTCCGTGAATATTTTAAAAATACTTCATGTATTTTAATATCTTTTTATGTTAGGAAATCGAAAAAATGGCGATGATACAATTTGCATGTGCACTTGTCGCATATATTTGGCGCTAGCCACTTTTTTGTCTGCAGTAAACTTCAGAAATAGTCATAATGTTTGGCGGATGCAAAATTAGGGCACGAACACAATCACAAATTATAGGATTTTTATCAAAGTAACTATTTTTTCCATTGTTGTATGCGAATATGTTCAAATACGGCAATGCTTTTGAGAACATAGTACCTATATGCATGTATTCAAAGCACTTTGTCCGATAAGATTAAGGAAATTTGTCCTATTCTGATTTCTATGTAACTGGAAATAGAAAAAAAAACGGCAGTACTCCATTCTAGCTGGTCAGTTATAATTGCAGTCGCTTTTAAAAAGTTCACTTTAAACGTATATTTTTCTTCGCACATTCGGAGAAAGCTTTTATCGCTTGCTTGCGTGTGCGTTGCCAATTAGATTTGCATCTTTGTACTGCTTATGGTCGTTATAATTTCGCAATATAACGTCAGTACGCAAATTCATCCCTTCAAACGGCATCTTTCTCCGCTTTCCCATACAATCTTCATACCAGGGCAAATTACGACACACGACTACTCCTGATTCTCGACGACACGAACGTCTGACAGACGTTGCGCTTGAAATAGTATAATAGCTCCGGAAATCGCCTGTATTACTGCACAGAATATTGCAAAGGCAGCACGTAAGGGGATTCCGATTTCTACGCTGGTGAAATGGGATAAAGGGGTGTAGAACACGCCCCGATGTTGATTCTTTCCAGTCGTAATCAACGTTAAGGGTCGGTTACACTGACACGATTTAACTCTCGGAAAATTAGTTTTAGCTTGAATTAAATAAATTTTCTTTCTTCGTATATAAACGAAGCGTGATAATTTAAAAAAGAAACGAGACGTTAAATGTAAATCCTTCTTAATTGATTTGAACTCCTCTATCTTGAATCGAATGAATAATTATTATCAATGTCAAGTTAAGGAAGCTGTTTCAAAAGTTTGTGATAAAAAAATGCAGTGCATATTACTGACAAATGAAACAATTATTTATATATAATCAATAATCGATTTATAAAGACATTCGCGTGTTTCTCATGAGCAAGGCCGCTGCATGTAGATACAAATTTTGCACTGCACAAAGGCGCAGTAGTTAATAAGAAAAGACATCAAATTAAGTTTTGAAAATCAATTCTCCAATCCTAGCACCAATTGCGTGTGCTCGTTTCAGTCAGATTTAATTTCTTCCGTTAATTGGATCGAATAATTGTTTAATTCTCGTCGTTACTAAAATCTTTCAGCACATATCAAGCTGTTCTAGCACTAGGATATCGATCGTATAATATTTTCTCTAGGAAATGCGAAAAGTAAAAATTTTGTCTATACTAACTTTAGTGTAAAAATTCTCACTTTTCACATTTTCGATCTAGAGAATAATAACGTGGTTATACTTTAAAACAAAAAAACAAATAATTATATCTTTTTTCTAAAGACATTAAAAAAATATCTTATTTAACCTTATAGAAGCTATTTCTATTAAATGATTGACACAGTTTTGCTTTCGATATGTACGTATAAGAAAAGTTATTTTTAATTAATGTAATAAGCATTTTTTTATATATTTCATATTTTTAATAATAAATATTTATAATTTAGACTTATATATGTATATGTACAATATATATACATATACAAATAATCTAATTATTAACTTAAAAAATTAAGCATATAAAATTCAATTTTAAAATGATATGAAATTATTACAATCTAATTGTGTGTATGTATCCCTTCATAATACTTAAATAAAATATATAAAACACAAAATAATAATACCAAATTGCATAAAAATTAAAATTATTTTATCGTGTTCTGTTATAATACTGACTAGGGAATCTAAACTGATATATATATGTATATATAAAACGGACAGAATTTTTAAAAGCTTGTCTCCGCATAGCCTAGCTTTTAGCATGGCAAATTGGATTTCCTAATGACCACTGGAGATATAGCTTAGCGTTTAGTGACTTCACTTATACGTAAAATTTACGTATCGATAGCATTCTAAGGTTAAAAAATTGGTAAATAAAAATATAAATAAGAATGGCAGCGAAATTCCTTTTGTACAAAAATGTTTAGCGGTGCCCTGTTTGTAGGTTTTCTGGAAAATTGCAAATAAATCAAGATTAAAATAACTATCAAATACAGTGATAATACTAATACAGAGTTTTCTTCCGGTTGTACATATGCATATAAATTTATTTGAAAATTTTGATATATTAACAGTGATGGTAAGTAAACGACTTAAGAAAGTTCGATATTTATTTTTAGATTTTTTTTTCAGTATAATCTTGAAATTAATATCCTAACTATTATAAGTTACATATTTGATGTAAATAATCTTTGACAAAATCTAGTTAAATGTTGTTAAATACGCAGTATTATTTGACAGAAATTGATAAGTTGTCAATATATGTAGCCTTATTTTAAGGCTTCGTCAACAAATTTGTATACATATAAAAAGTCAAGAAGCTATATCACTTTGTACATTTAAATCTTGTTTTTGTTTGAGTATGTGCATTATTTCTAATGTCAATCTTTTTAACAAATTTTTCCTCGTCTAATATTAAAACATATTGTTCCAATTAAAATCATGTGATCGATTCGGTGTTGCGTTATTACCGAGTGTTGTGTA